CCCCCCCCCTGCCCCGCCGCCGGGCTGGGGGAGGGGTCCCGTGGGCGGGCATGGAGCCAGCACCCCCTCCACCCGGCGCCCCATGTGTCAGAAGCGTTCCCCCCTCCCAGAGACATCGGCGCACACGCGCGCGCACACACGCGGGGGCCGCCCAATTAAACAGCGTGGTAATGACGAAGGGGGGAGAAAGCCGCCGTTTGCGCTGCTGGGGAGGGGGAGAATCCCAGCAGGGGCCAAGAGTGGAGAATCGCTGCCCCCCCCCCCACGCCTCTTTGCACCCCAGGTGTGGCGCTTGGTTAGTGGCCCCAGTGGTTGGGGCTGAGGAGAGGGAGAGAGAAAGGGAGGTTCTCTGGGAATTTGCCCGACACTTCCGTCTGTTTGTGAGTTTTTTGGGGCTCGGCCAGAAGTTGACACCCCTCCATCACCCTCAGCCCCAACCCCAAGAAAGGCTACGGTGTGATTGATCAAAGAAGCAGGACAAATTCCAAACTATTTCAGGAACTAATAACAAGGCCTCTCTGTGCAGTGGCAGTGATGGGATCAGACACGTTGGCACAGTGCTAGGGAGACTGCAAATGTTCATGTGTTGGTTCCTGGAATCATCTATGGTTTTCCGTGAACCATGAAGGTGGAACTCCTTGAGTTTTCCAGGCACTTGTGCTGGTAGGGTGCAGGGAGATATTTGGCTCAAAGCCGCTGGTCAGTTTGGTGTGAGCTGCCCAGCCCAGCTCCTGAGTAACTGAGATGTGGGAGAACTCCAGTTTCCGCTAATTTGCGAATGTTGTGACTTCACGCGTGACCCTTCATGTTACAAAGCTAGGAAAAAAAAACACTCAGAGCAAAATAGGTTGGACAGCATTTTGCCATGAAGCATATATTACTGCCCCTAGGTGATGGGGACAGCTATAGGCAAAGTGGGTGCCATGGGCTTCCCTTGGAGTCAAGGGACACAAAGTAAAATCAGCTTGTGAGATGCAAGATACACAGTCCTGGGTGGTGCAAACTGTAGACAAAGAGGAGGGATGGCTGGAGTCCACCCTCGTGCCACTAGTGAGACCAAAGACCACTCTGACCTGGAGCATCTTCTTCACGCCTATCCCTAGGCCTGAGCTGCTAGCCAGCCAGTTCTGTAGCCAGAGGGCTGGGTCCTGGGATGCTGAGCCGGCCTCTCCCTGGGTCCCTGAGGAGGTGGTAGAGAGAATGGTTCCCTGTGATAATGACAGCCTCCAGCCTTGCATGACCACGATGTCTCATAAGCCTATAGTCCAGAAGGGGCCCAGTGAACAGGAGCTGAATTAAAATGGAAAAATACAGCCTCCTTCCCCCTCCTCCCCTCCTCCACCACAGCCCTCATTCTTCGCTTCTGGAGCCCTGTAGAGTCTCAGCCCTTCAGTCTTGCTCAGCTGAGTCTGAGTAAAGTTAGGGACACACTAGCTGGGCACGGGGGTGCACACCTTTAATCCCAGTACTTGAGGGGCAGAGATGCATGGATCTCTGTGAGTTCAAGGTCAGCCTGGTCTACACACTGAGTTCCAGAACAACCAGAGCTACGTAGTGAGACCCTGACTTGAAAAAACAAACGATCAGAAGAGCTCCCAAATTAGGGATGCCTAGGATGAGCAGATGGGGTACAAAAAACTACCATTTGGCTCTTTCTCCCCAGTCCTACTTAGCACACACCAGGCTTGGAGTCCTTATCAGCTCTTGTCCCCAGCTCTGATGTTCTACCGTCTCTAAACGATCCATAATCCTAACATTACAGGCTTCTAGTTTTCTAGAATCTTAATATCCTATGTATCTTCCACAGACATTCTAGAGCACAGTGATTTTGTCCTGTGTGTTCTAGCATTTGGAGGCTATAATGTGAGTGTAGCTGGGACTCCCTATTCAAATAGCATGGGAAAAGACAGGATCATGTGACATCGGTTTGAATAACAGTAACTGATATTATTTCAACCGTGTTTCCACTCAGTGAATGCTTTTGTTTTTTGCAAGTACACAGTTTTAAAAAAGTTTTTATTTTAAGTTATGTGTATGTGCGTGTGGTTGTGTGCATGTGAACAAAGTGCCTTGGAGGCCAGAAGAGGGCGTCAGATCCTCTGGAGCTGGAGTCACAGGGGGCTGTGAGCAGCCCTACGTGGGTGCTGGGAACTAACTCTGGTCTTTTCCCAGAGCATCAAGTGCTCTTAACCACTAAGCCACCCCTCCGGTCCCAAGAACTCCCTACCCCAGTGTTTTGTTTGTTTGATTTCCAGGTGTTGGTGGCAGTTACCTTTAACCCCAGCACCCTCCAGAA